GACCCTGGCTCAGACTGGCAAGCAAAATGATTAAAGTTCAGAGAAAATTCAATCCCAAACCGCACAGTCAAATTATACAAGAGTACATTTATTCCTTCCCTTGCAGGGAATGCCTCAAGCCTGCAACATTCAAATAAAAATTTAAAGCTATTTTTCTCATACTGCATTTAATCAAACTTTAATAGCCCTTTGATCCTTAAACAAGAAAACATTCGTGCTAGTCCCCAAGACTCTGCTTTATGCATGCCAGAGGAGTGAAGGATGCCTGTCTCTGTGAAGGATCTACACTCCCTCCCAAGTGTCCCCACAGATGCCTTGTCACGGTGGGCTTAGCTAGACCATGCCAGAAACTTTGATTTGGAATTGATTCATCATATTGCAACTGGAGAGATGTGTTGCAAAAACCAAGCTGTTTGGAAGCTTGAAAGAAACTAATAGTCTCGGGGCAGCAAGATGGCTGGATGGGTAGAAATGCTTGCTGTGCCAGCCCGATGACCCGAGTTCAACCCAGCACCTATGAAAGAGAGGCAGGTGTGAAGGTGCACATCTGGAATTCCAGGACTCCTACGGAGAGATGGAAGGCAGAGGTAGCGGGCTCGCTCAAGAGCTTGAGTACCAGCTTTTCTCAGTTACTCAATGGGGCAGAAGCAAACAAAGATGCTGCCTCACAAACAAGGTGGAAAGATGAACTAGCCTCCTGAAAGTTGTCTTCTGACTGCCACACCATGGCGCCTGCGTCCCAACTGATGACGTGTGTGCAACTCTCCCGTGCATGCTTCCTCTCACACGCCGCCTCTCAATGAGAAGTGCTATTGGTTGAGATGGTTAACAGACAGTAGTTTCTGAACAGGAGAGAAGACATTCTAGTAACTGACTGGATAGAAAAGTACAAACTCACTCAGGTTAAGTTTTAATACAATCATGCCTGGTGTGGTGGCACACACCTCTAATCCCAGCACTTGGGAGGCAGAGGCAGGTGAATCTCTGTTGAGTGTAAGGCCAAGCCTGGTCTATGGAGTGAGTTCCAGGGCAGCCAGGGTTACACAGAAAAACTGTCTCGTAAAAATCAAAAATACAAAAAGCCCTCCACACAGCCAATAAACTAAGCACAAAGTTCAACTCAGTAATAGTGGCACGGTTACTCACTCATCTCTGTAAACACCGTTTAGAGACCTTTGAAGGAATCAGTAGTTCAGAAGCTTAACATTTTAAATAAACAAAAGCCTTTAAGTTAAGGCATTTTGTTGGCATTTTAGAGATGGACAAACTTAAATAGCTAGCAGAAAGAACAATGAGAGTCAGAGAACCAGGGATGAAAATAATGCAAACCGAAGTCTGTTGAGATTACTCTAACAATACACAGATTGGTGTCTTAAGACAATAGGAATCCGGTCCTGAGTTCTGGAGGAACTTCTTGCCAAGTTCAAGATCAAGGTACTAGAAGACTTGGTGTTTGATGTGGACACACTATCTAATCACAGACTCTGACCTGCTCTATCTTTCCGTGACGGGAGGGATATGCCTTTACAAGGGGACTAAACAAACTTACAAGAGTTCAGCCTTTGTGATCTGATGACCTGCCATGGGCCTTACCTTCTAAGTCAGCACAGTGAAGCTATGGATTCCAATACTGCCTAGAATTCCCAGAGAAATATGAATGAACAGTCTAAAACCCAAATACCAAGTCGGGTGGCAAAAGGAAGGTAATGAGGTAAAGACACAACACATTAAGACTCATATACAATCATCGATGGATAAATATTTTAAAGCCTTTTGTACTGGCTGGTTTTGTGTCAACTTGACACAAGCTAGAGACATCAGAGGAAGGAGCCTCAGTTGAGGAAATGCCTTCAGGAGAGCCAGCTGGAAGGCATTTTTTCAGTTAGTGATCATGGGGGAGGGCCCAGCCCATGGTGAGTGGTGCCATCCCTGGGCTGCTGATCCTGGCTTCCATAAGGTGAGCTGAGCAAGCCATGGGAAGCAAGCCAGTAGTAAGGAGCTTCCCTCCATAGCCTCTGCATCAGCTCCAGCCTCCAGAATCCTGCTTTGTCTGAGCTCCTGTCCTGACTCCTTTCAGTGAGGAACAGCAGTTCTGAAGTGTAAGCCACATAAACCCTTTCCTCCCTAACTTGCTTTTTGGTCATGGTGTTTTGTCGCAGTATCAGAAAACCCTGAGGCAGATATTGGGACCAGCATAGAGGGGGATTGCTGTGACAGAACTGGAAAGACTTTGGAACTTTGGGCTAGAAGAGTGTTATGAGCTCAGTAGGATATTCTGTGGAACTGAGAAGAATATTAAGAGCGGTGTAGAAGATGGAGACCTGGTTTCTGAAATTTCAGAGGGAAGATTAAAGACTACCAGGGCTGTTTGTTGTTTGAATTAAGATCCTGTGGTTCAGGTTCGCTGGGACTGAAAAATCAGCTGTTATTAACAAGATACCAGAACTACTAGAGCAAGTTTGCTTTGCTGGGATACTTGATGCTGGTTGGCTAGAGCTAAGAAATTAGCAGTGATTAACAAGAGACAAACATCATTGAGGTGAAATCTTCTGGGAACACCGAGAAGTTGTGTTCCAGATTTGGTAACGTGTGGTACTAGGTTTGAAGGCATGAAGGGGTCATGGAGAGCAGCTGAGGCCTGACACTGAGAGGCCAGGAAAGTCCATTGGTGAAGGTGCAGTTTCTGTGGCAGTTGAAGGCCCAGGACTGAAGGGGTCTTACAGAGAAGTTGAGGCCTGGCACCATGAAGAGAGCCTATAAGAGGTTACTGGTGAAAGTGCACCCCAGTTGCAGCAGAAGACCCTAGAGTTTTGGAGATGCCAGTACCATGGGATAATTACCAAAAGCAGCAGCAGCCAGCCGGAGCCTACAAGACAAGCTGTGTGTGTTGTAGCAGGCAGAGTCAGAGAAGTGACCATAGCCCTTTGCAGTTCAGAAAACTGAGTGGATCCCAGATAATTGGACATTGAGATATTTATACTGTTGGACTTTGGTTTTGCTTGGTTCAATTGTGATGGTGCCCTGGTTCTTTCCTCTTTTTTCTTTTAAATGATAAAATTTATATTTATTTGGGTCCCATTTATTTTTTAAATTTTATTTATATATATTTTTCCTTTTTTAATTACACTTTTTTATTTTTTAAACAATCTTTTTTTTTAAACATACCAATCCCAGTTCCCTTTTCCTCCCTTCCTCCTATCTCTCCCCCACCCCATTTCTCAGAGAGGGTGAGGCCTCCCATGAGGGAGTCAACAAAGTCTGTCACATCACTTGAGGCAGGACCAAGGCCCTCCTCCCTTGTATCTAGGCTGAGCATGGTATCCTTCCATAGGGAATGGGCTCCAAAGTCAGTGAGCTCCTGCTAGCTCGGGTCAGCTGTTTCTGTGGGTTTCTCCATCATGGTCTTGACCTCCTGCTCGTATTATCACTCCCCTCTCTACAACTGGACTCCAGGTGTTTTTTCCCTCTTGAAGAAGGTATTTAATTTTGAGTTTTAAAGGCGCCCACAGATGAAAGACTTGAACTTTTATTTAAAAGAGTGACTATTTTAAAGGAATCAAAATTTTAATGTGTTTGAATCTGTAAAGACTGTGGGACTTCTTAAGTTATTTAAGATCTTGGGGATGAATAAGAAAGGAAGGGTTGTGGCTTCATAGTGATGTATTTGTGTGTCAAGTTGACAAGGGGTCAGTTGTACTGGGTGGTTTTGTGTGTCAACTTGACACAAGCTAGAGTCATCAAAGGAGCCTCAGTTGAGGAAACGCCTCCATGAGATCCAGCTGGAAGGTGTTTTCTCATTTAGTGATCAATAGGGGCCCATGGTGGGTGGTGCCATCCCGTGAGTTGCTACTCCTGGTTTCCATAAGAAGGTGGGCTGAGCAAGCAGAGAAAGCTACAAAAAGCAAGCCAGTAAACAGCTCCCCTCCATAACCTCTGCATCAGCTCCTGCCTCCAGGATCCTGCCCTGTCTTGAGTTCCTGTCCTGACTTCCTTCAGCGATAAACAGCAGTCCTGAAGTGTACGCCAAATACACCCTTTCCTCAACTTGCTTTTTGGCCGTGGTGTTTCGTGGCAGCAACAGAAACCCCTAAGATAGCTTTTATTTCACTTAAGCCATTTGGTGCAGTGAGAAGGAACTGCAATGCTGACGCTAAATCCATGCTGATAACCGCGTAACAGGCTAGAGGTGGCCTTCCCCTTCGTAGAAGCTCAGGGGTAGAATGCTCGCCGGCGTCAGAAGGTTTGACCCCCAGGACTACAAAGATAAAGAATGTTCCTTTTGTAATCATTTATCTTGTTTGAATAATGCTAGTTATTTTACATTCTAAAATCAAAACTAGATTTTCCTTAAAAAGGAAACAAAGTAGTATCAAAAAACCTGGTAATGCTATTAGTAATACCCATTATGCATAAAGAGGGCTCAGGGCCAAAAGCCTTCTAGTGCAAACGTAAGTACACACTGGGATACTATGCAAGCATTAAGACCATTCTCTTTTAAGATAGCCACAGTAGCTGGGCGCGCGCCTTTAATCCCAGGCAGGGGCGGGAGGATCTGAGTTCAAGGTCAGTGAGTTTCAGGATAGTCAGGGCTACACAGAGAAACCCTGTCTCAAAAAAACCAAAGTTCATCCTCTCCTAATTTACTATGTGAAAATTATATACATTTTGCTTAGAGATTTATTTTATTCTCCAGAGAAGTCATCCCATACTTTGATTGACATAGTCAAATGGTCTACAGTTGGTTATTGACAAATCTTATAATTCACATAGTCAACATTTTCTACAAATTTCTACAGTGTAATGTATTCGAGAATGTATATGTGCGTGTGTGGGAGTGGCTATGCATTATGAGGCAGTCTCATTATCCCAGGACGGCCTCAGATTTGCTATGTAGTTGTAGGTGACCTTGACTAGTCTTCCTGCCCTCACTGAGTGCTGGGATTACAGGCATAGATGGTGCTGGGCCTATATAGTTTTAAGAAATAAATGACAAGAACCACTGCAGGTAAAAACAGCTTTATTTTGTTCATTTTGGTCTTTTTTAGAAGAGCAAAACTATCAAATGCAATCAAAGTTACTTTGTCTTATAGCCACTGGTTTCCTTTGGAAAGGAACACACATTTGAATAACTTGTAATTCAAACATATCAAGTTCCCACTTCATTTCCTTCTTTTAAGTCAGCCGCAGTAGAATCATTCTGGGTAAGTGTTCATATTCTCTCACCTTTATTCATACTGAAATAATACAATATTTATAAACCAAACTATTTGCTGTTCAGAAAGCTGGAAAGGTTCTTTTACATAATAATTTTGATATGATAAGAAACCACGCAAAACCGGCATTTGCAAATGGATAAAAATAGGATAAACTCCTTGAAAGAAAACATAAACAATAATTTCTCTTATCTAAATAATTTCAATTGAGTGAATATATTTATCTGATAATATATCCTCTATCTTAGAATATAAAAAGTGCTCAGATTATTTATAATAAAAATAACAAAATTCTAAGAACTGAAAATAATTTAAACAAAGATAATACACCGAGAACCAAAATGACATCTGTGCTGTCATGGAGGGAGGTGTAAAACTACCTGAACTCAGAAGGGACTAAAGCAAGGAGCTGGAACATGCATAGCTCCTGCCTGGAGAAAAGAAAACCAGTCTCTGGAAGCTCCATGTGTCTTTATTTAGATGAAAGCCACTGACAAAAAATCAGGTATCTCAGACAGACTTTGCAAAATGCAAAGTTGGGATACTTGCCTTGACTGCCCTACACTAGCTGCGGTGCACATTCAACTCAGGAGCTCAAAAGACAAGCACACATCTTTATAAAATGCGTGTACGGAGGCCTGGGGCTAGGTGTCAGAACTACAGTCCACTTCCTTTCAGACAGGGTCTCTCGGTGCTGGAGGTTACTCAGTAGGTTAGGCTGCTGGCCAGTGCTCCAGGGACGCTCCTCTGACTCCCTAGTGCTGGGATTTCAAGCGCACACTCACTACCAGACCCAGCATTTTACATGAGTTCTTGAGAACTGAACTCAGGTCCTTAAGATTTGCCAGGCAAATAACTATGCCAAGACAACAGACATAGCCGGACCATCCTGGACACACACCCAATGGGAACACCTGATCTTTGCAAAGTTTGCATGGCCTTTTCAGGTCGTTTATTAATGACACACTGAAAAACTGGCAGAATTTAATGTTGAACAGAGTAACAGAGCTTTGGTTTGTGGGGAAGACATGTTTCCTGGCGATGGAATGCGTTTGTCACCTTTGACCCCACCTAAATTTCCCAGCATAAGCTAACATCTTGTATGAGTCTAAGTCAATGGTTCTCAGCCTTCCTAATTCTGCTGCCCTTTAATATGGTTCTTCATATTGTGGTGACCCAACCACAAAATTATTTTGTTGTTACTTCACAACTGGAATTTTACTACTGTTATGAATCGTAATGTAAATATCTGATATACAACCCCTGTAGGGGTTGCGACCCACAGGTTGAGAACCATCTTTTCTGTTAGCATTTTTTCCAGGACAAAAACAGTAATGTGAGGAAATTCTTTAGACTCATTTCTTCACTTTCCTCCCCAGAATATTTACTGGAGACATTTAGCATACCTTGTTCCAGAAGCAAACTCCAAAAGGACAAGTCCCAATTAAGGGGCTAGATCATAGTGTATTTTAAAATCTTTATATTAACCACAAGATTCTCATAAATACAATTCCACAAAATATTTTTTAAAAGCTCTAAGAATGTACTTGGTGAGTGGCTACAGAAGCCAAGATATGCAGGACAGTGACCAGGTACCCAGGCTGGTGCTGGGCTATGGAGCAGGCTGTCAGTTTCTGAACAGCAGCATCCTCTCGGCGCACTTCTGCCCCACAAGGTTGGCATACTCCAGAACACCCTCCTCCTCACTCGGGTCTTCTTGGTAGTTCTTATAAACAGCATAAGGCATGGTGGATCGCCTGTGCAGTACCCGTAGTCGGTTAAGGTCCTTACTGCGGCCTTCATCCACTGCAAAGAGACAAATACGGATCAAAGACTGCCGTATCAAAGATGTGCGCGGCCAAAGTACATCATCTGAAACGTGATGGCCTCGCAGGTCCTCACTGTGTGGTATGTTCATGAGCATGCTCCTAAGAATACACAGGAAGTTTCTTAGTGAAAGGCAAGAAGCATTCCCTAGTTTGCTAGCCAAAACAAAGTAGAGTCAAAGAATCACACTCAACTGAAAACCACTGGCTATACTGTACCTTCTGATTTGCTGAGGTACAGTGGCATCTATAAATGTTCCAGAATCTTTCCAGAGTCTGTATTAAATCTTAGTGCCTCTCCAGCTAACATGCTGCCTGAGGCTCTGGCTCTGCATGCGGACTTATTGTCAACAGAGCAGCATAAGGAGGTCTGGCTTTGCATACTCCTGTTCTTTATGGAGGGCAGCAGGGCAGATTCTCACAGCTTCAAAAGAAGATAGAGTACAAGGTGCTGTTGCTTCCTTTGGGCTTTCCTGGTTCCCATATACAAGAACTCATGGCTTATATCAAGAACACCTGTGCTCCTGCCTTCCCTGAAGCTGGGCGTGGTCTCGCGACTCAGTTCTGATCAGCATGAGTAGCGCTTTATGGGACTGCAAGAGCCCTTCCGAGAGAACAAGTTATCTCTGCCTTCCTTCAGGCAATAGCCTGTACACAGACCAACATAAGGGCAAGAGTCTAACTTCTACCTTGGAGCTGGAAGGTAGAGGCATGCCTTTGGTTTAGTGAAAAGACAAGACTCAAGGTGGTCAGCCTCTGACTTCATGGAATAAGCTATCATGCTGGGGATAAAATACCTGGGATGAGCTGGGGTGGAGGGGTATGCCCGTGGTCCTGGCACTTGGGAAATAGAGGCAGGAAGATCATAAGCTCAAGGTCATCCTGGCTGTAGAGAGGTCTAAGCCAGACTGGGCTACACAGCAAGACTTCAACATGCATGCGCACACGTACACGAGCACACACACGCACACACACCAACCAAAGAAAACGTACACAAGGGCTTCAAGACAGTAAATTCTGGAATATTTGTATACTTGTAAAGAGTGCTGGGAAAGGAACCCAAGCCAAAGTGTGAAACTCACATGCTTTCTACACACCAAATACAGACCCAGAACTTCTTAGACAAAGTACGCATGGCTGTAATCTACCACCTAAGGCCAGGAATGGCGTTTATAACTAAGACACAAACATCGAAAGTTTCTTCTTTCTCAGAAGTTGATGCTCTAAAGCAGAATCAAACTCAGGAGATTTCAGGAGAGAAAAGAACAGAATTCCTCCTATTCCTCAGATGCCAGACACAGGGAACACCAATGTACTGCATACAATTTATCTGCCCAAACGCATGTGAAGGAGAGGGAGCCCATCCGTCTCAGACTCCAGGCCTGCCTGTTCCATCGGTTGGGCTGCATGGCCTCTAGCTTATGATCATCTTGTCATATCCTCAAGGATGGGACATGTACATCCCACACAGTTAAGATTAAAAGTAATTTAAACATAAACAAAATTCTGTAAGATACTTAAAACACTAAAAATTATGATTTAGTTAGCAGGGAGGAAAAATGTAGCTCAAATTCTTACAAGACCCATTTAGAATCGTCTTATAGATATAAACATGACATCCATGCTCACAGACAAATCTACAGTGCTAAACGGGCCCAAAGACCTTCCCTTGATGGGCCTTGAAGAGACCCAGGAACAAGCTATTTTGATATGAAGACGGTTGCCATGGCACCCAAAGAAAGCTGCCAGCCTACTAAGATACAAGAACTTCTACTTCTCCTTTCCCAAAGCTGCATCACAGCTTAACTTTATAAAATAAAAACACAAGGAGTCTTGCGAGTTCTTAGGGATGAGCATTTGGTCACTAATGACTCAAATGCGCTGCCAGCTCCATGACATTTTAATCAAGGAAAACTCTGCGGGGGCTGCTTGCTCACTCTCCCCACAACTGCTCCCTCACGGGAGCTGAGCTGTTTAACAGGTGCTTCCAAAGCAAGAGAAGCTACAGGCCACAGCTGTACCTCTGGGGGGGGGGGGAGGTAAATTATTTGTTGTTCTCAGAGACCTAAGGCTTTTCTAAGCCTTTCTTTCCTTTTTTGTTTTGTATTTAGGGACAGGGTTTCTCTGTGTAGCCCTGGCTGTCCTGGAATTCTCTCTGTAGACCAGGCTGGTCTCGAACTCACAGAGATCCACTTGCTTCTGCTTCTTGAGTGTTGGAATCAAAGGGACATGCTGCCCCCACAACCTGGCTTTCTTTTTTTCCCTAGGCTTTTCTAAAAATGATTCAAGAGTAAATCAGCATATCTTTATAATATATTGTTACAGAAATATTACATAAAAATGAAAACAAGTTTTATAGTTTTTAAAGGATACAGACGTATACACAGCAGATAAATTGATATAAGAGCTGAAATGCTGAGCAAATGTCCAACAGGGGATGTGATATTCGTGTTAATGGTCACCCTGACAGAATCTAGGACCAACTGGGAGAAGGGTATGTGGGATACCTGTGGGGGATTATCTTGACCTTATTAACTGAGGTGAGTGGTATCATTCCCTGGCTGAGAGAGCTCCTCAACTGTGTCCGTGGAGACAGGGAGCTGAGCACAGCACGCAGTCATCATGCTCTCAAGTTCCTACTCCATGTATTCCAACCCTAAGCGTCCTACCAAAGGGTGTAAAAACTAGGAGCTTTAAGTTCGATGTGACAGGATACTTATATATCATCTGAAGATATCTTATTTATCAACCACTTGACCTATACAAAATACTGACTGTAGTGTGGGTGTGTGACACACACCACTTTATCAGGTCACCAGCTATCAGTGAGTGACAATACAGGTCTCCTGATATGAATTCACCATTTCTAATATTCTTACCTTGACTGATTACAGAGAAACCTATGATGAACACCAAGTAAGGAATAGTCTACAAAGTAGCTGGACCGTATCCTTAATAAAATGTCACGGTCATCTTTATCACCACTACGACCACCCTCATCACAGCTCGGGGACACTGAGGTAGAGGGGGCAGAAAGAAGATGAAGAGCCGGGGGATGAGATGAAGTGCTGTGTAATACTCTCTTCTGTATACAAAATGCTATTGCGCTGACGGACTCACAGCAGCCACAGCTGCCCACACAAGAGCTGCACAAGATCAAGCCAGACAAAAGAACGAGACACGATATTCCACACAGTTGACTCAAAAGGTAGGCCTTTCCTCTTTCTCTGCAACCTCTTCCTCCTCCAGGCAGCTACTGAGACTCACAGCTTGCTGCCCTTCCATTTTTCTTTTAAACTCTAATAAAGCTGCCCTTGAGCTTCCTTTTGAGTCTATTCTTAAACTCTTTTACTAACAAAATGAAGAACCCAAGAGAGGACCTTGATTTCCCCAGCATATGTAACTGTGGTGAATTCTCCATTTCTGGCAATCACCTCATATTCGGTGCACATAACTAGGAGTGGTGACTCTGTTACGTCTGGAGATGAGGCTGGGACTCACAATCTGCCTCAACAGAGCGACTTCTATTCACAAAGGGATAAACGAAGTGCTCTGCAGAGAACAAGTTTTGCTATGTTCCTGGTGAAATACCTTTCTGCTCAGAGAAGAAATGTTCTCTCAAAAACGTCTCGAGCTGTGTAGGTTTGATGGCTGGTCATTAATATTTATAATGCCCTTCCACACTGTTCTTGTGTGTAGCAGTTCGGGGGTACGGTCTGTGTACTTCAGAGTTATATGTGCTCTTGGCAATTACTTTTGTTTATGCCAACATCCACTTGCCATGTCTCAACTGGCATCTCCCCAAATGACCCACTGCTCTTGGCTTTCATTTTTACTTTACACTTTGCACTTTTTAATACCTGCTTCAAAGCAAAAGATTTTCACTATGAGAAGGTACAACAGGCCGTGTAAGCTTCTTAAACACACAGCGAAGCAGCAGCCATGTCAGCAGGGTTGGCCAACATGAGCGGTAAAAGCAGCTGTATGCTCACAAAGCTCAGCTCCTACAGGGCTCACAAGTCTTCCAAAGTCAAGACTTCCTAAATTCAAGTCTTTCAGAACTCTTCCCTTAGCAAAACCTTGTAAGTCTCAAACAGCAAGAGGACTCTGCAAAAGCAGAGGGCCCTTCTAGACAGCAAAGATGCTTCTGTTAAACTTCTGAAAGCAGAAAAGCAGATTCTTTAGCGGACTTTGGAGAGTAAAAAAAAGTAGTGGCACAGCACAGCTATAAAGCAAATGCTTTTCCTGTGTGCCCCTTCCTCCTCCAAAAGACTTCTCCAAAAGCACTATTTGTTTTCAGACATACTTTGAAAGCATGTAGTTATATCAAAGAAATGCCTATAGTTTGCAGTTTAAAGCCAGAACTATGCCCAAAAGCAAACTCTAGTAGCACTGACCCATTCAAAAAGTACCAATGCACTACAGGGCTCCTTCTTTAAATTGCTTTCCTGGGTGCAGCTGGAATGCTTTAAGAAAACATTTAAGAAATGAAGTGTGCTGCACAAGAACCTTTGTTTTTAATCAAAAGATTCACAACAATGGGTTAACAAAGTATTTCAAGGAAATGCTAAAACTTCAGTTCAGAGTGAAACTTTTAAAACACACACTTTAAATGGCAAAATAGTGGGTTCCAATAATAAACAGGTCTATAGTTAGTGCACACATAACAGCCACCTAATATCCCCTAGCTTCCAAGGTACACAGGTCAAGAGCAAATAATTAAGCATTCAGTAACCTGAAAAAAGATTGGTTTAATTCAGGTTTGGGGAATTAGGTGACATTAATTTAAAATGCAAATCAGAGCTCCCATGTAAGCAACAATTTACTGTGGAACTTAAGGGCTGCCGAGGAGACCGATGCCGCGGCGGCCCGAAGAGACGGCTGCCGCGGCGGCCCGAGGAGACCGCTGCCGAGGCAGCCTGAGGAGCTGGCACACACATCACAGTTGTGTGGCCAGCACCCCACAACTTACACTTTGGA